TAAAAAAAAATCAATTGTTCACCGTATCTAAAATTTCCAGAGCTGATAATGTAACATTTGTATCTAATTTTGAAACTAAAAGAACTTGGCAATTAATTACTGTTTGTTGACATTACACACTACTTCAAATAAAACGCTAGCAAGCAACTCCCCCCCCCCAATTAGTATACGAAAGAGCGATAATAGCTGCTGGACTTGAAAAGGCTGCTTTCCTGAGAAATTGTTTTAAAAAGATTTTATAAATTTCAACTGGAAGAAGTACTGACTGCTCGGTCAATAAATACCAAATGTTTCCTTATAGGGAAACGTCTAATATTAAACTAAGTATTATTTTAAATGCGATATCACTTCAAGATGTGAATCTTTTAAGATTCATTTCTTTGAATCTGTGATTTGCTATGACTTCTTGGGAGGAGTGGTTTCCTGTTGCCTTCTCCACTGTTTGGAATTAAGTTTGCTTTCTTTCAGTTCTCTAAAGATGGGTAGCAGCTAGCATGAGGAATTTGATGAGCCGAATTGAGTGGGTGTGGTTTGAAGATTGTTTGCGTGAAATCCAGACAGTGATTGATGTTTTTCTGTTGTTGTTTAAGCTTTGATATAAGAGCGAAAAAAAAAACGTGCGAAAACGGGCAGTAGGAAAGCCAAGAACTCTAAAATCATCTTCACCAGATTTCTTTCCGTGACAACAGGGAGACAAGCCATCACGTGGAGAGGATGGGTAGCTGGCCGACCGGTTGAAATTGTCTTTCTCATTCTATCTTCCACTCTCGTTCCCGTTGCGTGTACCTTCCACTCTCGTTCCCGTTGCGTGTACCTTCCACTCTCGTTCCCGTTGCGTGTACCTTCCACTCTCGTTCCCGTTGCGTGTACCTTCCACCCGTTGCGTTCCTTCCTCTCGTTCCGTTGCGTGTACCTTCCTCTCGTTCCCGTTGCGTGTACCTTCCACTCTCGTTCCCGTTGCGTGTACCTTCCACTCTCGTTCTCTCTCCTTACCCTAAAATTAAAGGGTTAAAAGAAATCTGAAGAAAATTGATTCAGTAGTTGATGTAGCGTTGGTGTACTTATAGAGGAATTGCCGATATGCCACTAAAATTCAGTGACTAGATCCATCGCATCAGCTGTTAGCTCATAATTTGTGTTACGGATTCAACAGAGATGACATTTGAAGTTACATCATGAGTTGGATTTCAATCTTGGTGACCTTAATGTTAGCACTCGGCTTTGTAAATCTACATTTCTTCCGAAGTCTCTGTATCGAATGGTAAATAGTATTCTGCTTATTTCGAATCTTCCAGCAGGATAGAGAAAATTATTTTCAAAAGGAATATACTGGCTGAACAATAGGAGTAAATTAACCTGCTTGGGATGTAGCTGTTTCTTGAGATCTTGTTTTTTTTCTTCGGTTCGAATTTTTTTTTGTTTTTATGCGATGTTGATGATTCAGCGTATTTCTGAAATGTAGGAACTGGGTTTGATTCTCTGTTAAAAAAAAAAGCTGCGTGTATTGTTACGTCGTATGTGTATGCCTATGCGCGATACAATGTCTTTCATATTTGGTTTAGTGGGGACACTACAAAAAGTGGAGTTTCTACTTTCATCTAAATGTCTTAGAGACTCTAGGATTGTTGTTATTATTATTATTATTATTAATAAATAATTATAAATAAAACAGTAAAATGAAAATGTATAAATTAAATAAAAATAATAAAAAATACTCCCAACATGCAACAAAAACGCTGCAGACTTTAAATTCATTCTCTTCACTACAAACCTTCGTACAGGCAACACGTGTCCAGCCTCTCTCTGTGACATGGCGTGTAATAATACGGAGTGACTCCATTTTATCACATGTACCATGAAACAATTGTAACCTAAAACAATCCGCACAAAACGTATAAATAAATTATATGAAATTAACGTACAATTTACCATGCTTTTATTGTTATCTCTATATATCTTATTTCTGTGACCTATGTTTTTATCCCCGTGGACACTAGTCTGATTTCTACTGTTTGAGTTACCCAACAAAACTATTTATTAGAAGTCCTTTCAGTCCCTCCTCTGTAAGCAGAACGAGAGGCTTTTAAGTTTTAATGTTATCAGTCTTTGATAACGATATACTTAAGGTATATGGCATTCTGTTTTTGGTGTTTTCTATTCGCCGTATATATCTTTTCAGTCTTCGCTAGATTTCTAGCGAGAGAGGAATGTAATAATCAATTAACGTTGTTGTTGTTCTTCTTCTTCTTCTTGTTGTTCTTGTTGTTGTTGTTCTTCTTGTTGTTCTTGTTGTTGTTCTTCTTCTTCTTCTTCTTCTCCTTGTTCTTCTTCTTCTTCTTATTTTTTCACTTGCCTTTCTGCGGTCACCGTGATGTTCTTGTTATTCCTTTTTGTTTGATGTTAATGTTTATTCTTATCGTAAATATTAAACTTTGTCCCATTATATAATATTCAAACGTAAAATGATAGTCGTTGGATCTGAATTAGTTGGTGTTTAATTGGATTCTTTACGCAAATTTTGTCTTTTTTTTTTTTTCTGTTCACCTTTTTTTTCTGTCGCTCGATATTTGTAAATAAGATGAGTCCCGATAGTTTCACTTGAGTTGTCTATATGCACGTTTAATGAACGTCTGTCTTTGGTCACCATATTATATTTTTAACTAAATAAACTTCGTTTAGGCATTTAAGGCTGGGCCGATATTAACGAAACGTGAGAAGGAAGAGTTTGCATAGAATAAAGTTCACTTACATATCTGACAAAAGTTACATTTCTTCGCACTTTTTCTCTAACATAAAAGTTAATCTTTCTAAACGCATAGATTCGTTTTCATTATTGTAGTTTTTCCTGATCCCTACAAGATGTCCTTGTGTCCTGGGTATGACGATAATCTGGAGCTTTTGAGGGGCATGGAACCACCTCGTAATTGTCGTTTCCAGGTCGACCCTGACACGGTGTGCTAGCACCTGTTAGGGTCCCAGCTATGGGTAAATAGTGAACACCAAATTTGGGGTCAAAACACTATGAATGTATAAATATACATTTTTATAGCAAAGATACCATCAATAGATCTCTGAAAAAATATATTACCAGCAATACATTTGACTCTTGACAAAAACCCTCTTTATAAAAATACGTCAATGAAACCTGATCTACAAAAAATTATTATTCTATTCATATGAACCTATCATAAAACTCTTGTCGGCATCAACTAACCGATTGATATTGATATACTGTAAAACAATAAATCTAAACCCATGGTGTCCTTGTGTCAGTAGAAGAATCGGATGAGACCAAAAATAGGGGCTTGCTGACACATCTTAACTGGAGCTACACAATCGTAAATTTTCAATCGTGATAGCGTAAATGATTTTAAACGCTATTTTGTGAGAGAAGACTAATCCCCCATTCTGCAGCCTCTTTTCAACATGAAAAGTCGATCTTCATTGGAGTTCCTTTTAATTTCACCAGTTTAGACCTTTACAGCTAGGACACATTATGCGGTTTCCACGGAGTTGAATCTCCCACATTTCCTCCGTGCTCCTAAGAAGGTTGGTGGATTTTGTTTAGCGCCATACCAACCTCTGTGAGTAATTTCATGTCGAAACAAATATTTTGAACGTAATTGCATGCTTTCAACTACATATAAAATGTCATGTATTGTTGGTCATTTTACCATAAATATGTATCATTGGTAATTTTCACTCTAGTGTTGATAATTTATTGGTGATTTTTCCCATAAATATGTAGTAGTGGTGATTTTACTATCAGTTCGTAGATCAATTTTCATTAACGTATTTTTGTAGAGGGTTTTTTTGTCGACAGTCAAATGCATTATTTGTAATATTTTTTTTCAAAAATGTATTGCTGGTAATTTTACTATAAAAATTTATTTTTATCCTTTCATACTGTTTTTTTTGTTGTTTGTTTTTTTTTTATGGTTCACTACACGTAGACTCTAATAGTTGTTACCACACCAGGTCATAGTAGACCTGGGAACAACAGCAATTAAGATGTGGTTCCACGTTCAACCACGAACGAACACACACAGTCACACACACATATAATAGAGAAAGAGCGAGGCAATATTTACCATCAGACTATATGGTCACATGGTCTACTGATTACATAAGACGTTAAACTGACGTGTTAATGACTGTGTCCACGCTATGTGTACAGAAGCTCTATCCTTGATATGGAATATACCAAAATCTAATATATTAAAACATGTATTGTTAAATATAACAGAAAACGAATGTCTATTATGTTTGACTATGAGACGTTCTAAAGGAGTAAACCAGTGGAAAAACACAAAAGCAACTATTGACTGGTTCCACAGCATAATTAACAAACAAAATTGCCAATTCATACAATTAGACATAAAAGAATTTTAACCATCCATAACAGAACGCATGTTAGATAAGGCCATCAACTTGGCCCAGGAACAAATAATAAACCTTCAATCTCCCAATTAGAAGTCTTGCTGTCGGATGTATCTTATCGTCATACTTAGGACTATGATTAAGGAGGTTCCATCAAGAACTATTACTGTGCTACAGACTCCCACGTGTGTGCTTCCCTAAATTACTAAAACCTCAAGTTTATTGTCCCTCGTTATCTCTCCCCTTATCGGTATAATCTTCATATACTACCGTCTTCTCTTTCATTCATAGCACACACCTCATTGATCATTAAGATTTGAACTTTAACATTCTACCTTGAGAGACTCCCGAGCCTTGTATTGTTTAAAACCTACTATAAAGAAATTTTGGTTACACACCATTGAGGAACAGTTTGCAGTTGTTTCGTAGACTGTTACTGTTGTAGTGAGATTCTTACTGGGTACTCCACACTTCCGAAGCTAAGGAATTGTGTTAATGCTTATCTTTCCAGGTACAATCTTTCCTACAGAAAATTCCAAATGAATGATCATGCTAATTTTTGGCAATCTTTGTAACTTCATGTAACCTTTGATTCGATCTGTTCTTTTTGCTTAGATGGATTACGGCCACATCAGATTGAAACGCTGGTTCCGCACGATCCCTGAAGTAAAGCAACGAAGAGACTGATCAGTACATAGATGGGTAACCGCTTGGGAATACCAGGTACTGTAAGCTTTGATGCGCAGGCTGTGTGATACATACTAGCTTGGATTTGGAAATAGGAAAGCCAAGTTCTAAATTCAGTCGGCCTCGTTATATTCACTACGTGCAAATACACTTGGGAAAGGTATGAATCCGCCTCTTCTACCCCAGCTATGGGTTACATAAGTAAGACTTTTATCTCACAATCAAACTTGTTGCCAAAACGGAGAAGGTAAGTGAGCAACGACGAACTCTTAGAGAAAATGGAAACGAAAAGGGTACTTAGCCTTAGAAAGAGACGGTTGAAATTTAGATAGTGTATAATGAGGAATGAGGGCTTGGAAAATTTGACACTCATAGGACATATTGGAAAGAGACAGGAAAGCAGAGCAAAGCCTACCTAACCTGCTTGTGTAAATGGATGGCAGAACAGCTTAGGAGATATAGCAAAAAGACAAAGGTTACTTAGAGTGCAATTGACAGGAAGTTGTGGAGAGTCATGATCGACCACGTCCTGAAGGGATAAAGTAGAATGCGGAAGAAACCCTCCTTAGATTTTGGTGTAAGTCTTTCCTTCCATGTTCATTGTGATATTCTTTCATCAGAATATAGAATACCATTCTTACTACAATCACCATAATACCGTTACGTCTCTATGAAGTCCTAACTATATATGTAGAACTTGTCTGTTTGGCTGGGGAATAAAATAACATTTAAAAATGAAAACCCTAAAGAATATAAAAATATTTGCAATGTAAATAATACTGAGGTTTGAGCTTATTATTTTGAAATTGTTGTGGCCTGTTAGGGTCCAGAAAGACATGGAAAGTAGGTAGGTAGGTTGGTTGAACAAGTGTATTGAAATAACAGAACACATATACAAAATAAGAGTGTTAGTAGTCAGCAGATAGAAGTGTTCATTTGAACTGTCAGGTTACACTGTCTCGTAGGTTAGTATTTATGAAGGAGGAAAGGTTCATTCTAAGGTAGATAGATCACCATAACAGAAACTACCCCAGCCGAAGCCAGGGAAGCCTGTTTAGGTAATGATCGAGATCCTGCGTAAAAAAATTAAATTCGAAACGGTGGAAATTGCGGAACGACTGGCTTTTGCCAAAACCGACAGGCGTAGAAACAAGTAATTCGAGACATTCTCTGTGGAATAATTACCCTCCAAGTCTTGCGTTCTTGCCGAAATATTTACTTAGACTAGTTAATTTGGTCTTTCCTGCGTTATACAAAACACAGAAACCATTCTACACACACACACACACACACACACACACACACACACACACACACAAAGAGTTCAAGGATCCATTTTTTTCTGGCTATAAGTATTATGAGGCAACTCTCCAGACTGCTATATCAAGAAGTCACCTCCTTAACAAATTGGTCATGACGGAATTTGCGCTCGGATCTCATTGTCAAAATGTCATATACCCAAGCTCCATCTTTTTATAAAGTTGCGCAAAGCTGAATTTTGTTTTTGTCCCCCACCCATCTTACATCAGTTAAAAATAAATATTTTGATATCAGCCTTCGACGAGTGAATTTGAACTGACTTTGAATATTGCCGCCTCAAATGGTCCGAAGCTCCTGTTATATATTTAGATTCTTGATAAAATCCAAAGAATCAGCAATATTATTGTCTAAACCTGGCATCTCTACTTTACCAGCACAATTATGTAGCTTCCCTCTGCCTTTTCTATAAATAGTGTTTATGGTAATTGCTCGGGTGAACTCTTCGCTATGGTGCCTAAACTTTACCAATTTGAAGCACTGTACTTATCTATGTAGTATTTATGAAGGAGGAAGGCTTCATTCTAATGTAGATTGGTCACCATGACAGCAACTACCCCAGACGAAGCGAGGAAAGCCTCTCCATGCAATGATCGAGATCCTGCGTAAAAAAATAAAATCGAAACTAGTGGGAGGGAAATTGCAGAACGACTGGCTTTTTCTAAAACCGACAGGCGTAGAAATAAGAAAGTAATTCGAGACATGCTCTCTGGAGTAATTACTTCCAAAACTTGCGTTCTTGCCGAAATATTTAGACTAATTAACTAGGTCTTTCGTGCGTTATACAAAACACAGAAAACATTCTACACACACACACACACACACACACACACATACAAGACTGAAAAAAATACAGCCAGTTCAAGGATTCATTTTTTTTTCTGGCTACAAGTATTATATATGAAGGTCACTCCAAAAACAACGCACTCTGTTATTATATTAGTCCACGACGCCAGATGCTCACAGCAGTAGAAATTGAATCCTCCTGCCTGTAATCCATATTGTTTCGCCGAGCGACAGTCTGGCAAAATTGCGTCTAACATTATGCTTATGAAACAGATGTGCATCGCTGTTCATGCTAAAAATATTGACATTGATGATTGATGAACTTTTAAGGAGACCAAATACTGGATATGAGCACAGGCTGTGGACAGGGCACTTCAGACCTGGTGATAACTTTGTGTGTGACATGCCGTGTTACGTAGAGGTCGATTCATGAAACGAACGGCTCTTGTATATCGCTAGCGGAATTGCTTTGTCAAAAGTGTGATTATATGGGGGGGGATAGTATTTTATGTTAAGTTTCATGCATCCTTCATATTTTGCAAGAAAGTAAAGAGGATTCACAACTTACGGAGCATCCCTCAAGTGATAAATGAAGGATATATATATTAATAATAATAATGGACTCTCCCGCGGTTTCGAGTATGAGGAACTGACGGCTTATTGATTCAGTTATGAAAGTTTCTGCAATAAGCTTAAGTGGCATTTAAGACTCGCTAGTGATTTACAAAGGAGCCCACATATAGAGCAAGTGTGAGGATTGAGAGATGAGATTGGCTGATCTTTTAGATCTTGCTCTCGCTTCTTGAAGATGATTCAGACAAGCAGATTGAAAATTGCTGGGTCCACTAAAACACGTTGATCTCCATTCTATCCGCTCCAAAGCTAAGCGTTCAAGAGTGTTATGTGGTATATTAACTGCTGACAAGTTGATTTTCAGCTTGTCTTCTGTATCTTAGTCATGAACGCCCTACATTCCTGTAGCCCTGATCTAACTGGCTGTACATTAGGATCTTGGGTATCCTGTCATCAGACATTCCCAAGACATGACCAGTCCACCGTAACTGAAACAGTATGAGAAAAGTCTCGATTCCTTCAATATTAGACCTGTTTAACAGGTCTATGTTAGATGTCCTATTTTGAAGGTTAACTCCACAGATTGCACGCAGACAGCTTTTATAGAAAACACCGAACTGGCGTATATGGTACCTGTATGGAGTCCACGACTCTAAGCCATACAAAAGGATGGCAAGTACAACAGCTCCGTAAACCTGAATTTTCGTATCCAAAGAATCAGCAATATTATTGGTCCAAACCTGGCATCTTGCTTTCAGTCACTTTACCACCACAATTATGTGGCTTCCCTCTTTCTTATCTATTAATACTTTTTATGATAACTTTCGGATGAACTCTTCGCTATGGTTCCTAAACTTTATCAATTTTAAGGACAGTACTAGATTGGCAACAAGGTCTCATCAGTAGACAGAAGAATTGGATAGATGCAACCGTAAGTTCTATGCCATGTTCCTTTTCTCGCTTGCGGAACTATTTCCCGGATCCATACTTTCCAGCTAACTTTGATCTTTAAAGATTTAAATGCAATGTCAGTTGTTATATGCTATCTTCTTGTTTACTCTTTTATTGTTCTCGCTCTTTTTTTTCTATTCTTTCTTGTGTCTTAGTGACTTTATTGCCTTTCATGGATTGAAATGATTTAAAAAACAACTTCTGCTTTAAATTTCAGTTTTGAATTGTAATTACTCAAATGAATAGGTTATTCTCTAGCATAAAAATATCTGGAGACTAAATGATAAGCATTTAAAGATCTGGGGTTAAAATGTTTAGTACTCTGAAAATATCTGGCACCCAAGATTCTGGAATCAAAAGCTCTGGAGATGAAATCCCTAGCGCCCGGTATTAGCCTAAGTATCTTGCACCAAAAATTCTAGAAACATAATATACAATCGAATAAACTTCTGAGGACAAAATGCCTGAAATCCTAGTAATATTTTTGTTTTGTCAAAAATCTATTTCTGTTAATATTAATGTATAGATGGTAATATTATTTTTTTATTATTTTTTTTTTCAAAAACGTGCAGCTGGCAACATTGTTTTCAAAAACGTATTACCAGAGGCCTTATCTTCATACCCAGGACGCAAAGAGTTGGTTGAAGCAATCCAGTGACTTGTCCGAAAAGAGATGCGAGTTCAATACCTGGCTACAACAGTGGTGAACAAAAATTTGGAGATTTGAGTTACTAAAAGGGAATAACTAAAACAAAGTTATCTAGAAGAGGCTTCTCGTGGACGAAATCCAATAACTTGAAGGCCGTAGCGTAAAACGGTCGAAACGTCGTGAATTTAGCAACAAAGACGAGGACAATGGTCTGAACAATATAAAGAGGGTAAATAATTACATTCTTATCTCAGAAATATAGGCAGGTCCTGAAGAAGGCCGGAGCGTAAAACGGTCGAAACGTCGTGAATTTAGCAACAAAGACGAGGAACAATATACAGAATGTAAATAATTGCAATACCTTATCTCAGAAATATAGACAGATCCTGAAGAAGGGTAGAGCATACACCGACTGAAACGTCGTGAATTTAGCAGCAAAGAAGGGGAATATAGTCCGAACAATGTAAAGTGTGTAGAGGAGAAATGCCTGATAGTCACTATTTTTTTCAAAAATTTAAATGCAATGTCAATCATCATCTAATATCTTTTTGATTCCTCTCATATTGTTCTCGCTCTTTAATAATATTTCTCTTTTACACTGTTTCTTTTTTCTTATTCTTTTACACACTTTGTCTTAGTGGCTTTATTGCCTTGCGTAGGGTGAAATGGTTGAAATGCTGGTTTTCATTTGACTCCGAGTCTAAGTCTCTTCCCTGACAGTTTTATGAGTAACATTTTTTTTCACTTCAAGAATTTATCCGTTAGCACTA